GATGAATGAATAGAATGATGATGGATGGATGTATAGATAGATGATAGATAGACACATAGATGATAAAAGATGGATAAATGATGGATGGATAGATAGATGAATGGATAGATACATACATAGGTAGGTAGATATAGTACATGAATGGATAGATAGATGATAGGTAGGTAGGTAGGTAGATAGATAGATAGATAGATAGATAGATAGATGATAGATAGATAGATATGAATAATAGATAGATGATAGAAATAGATATATAATAGATAGACAAATGGATAGACATGATAGATGGGTAGATACATACTTAGGTTGGTAGGTAGATAAGATGAATGAATAGATAGATGATGGATGGATTAATAGATAGATGATAGTTAAACACATAAATGATGAAATATGGATAGATGATGGATGGATAGATAGATGGATAGATAGAAGATAGATAGATAGATAGATAGATAGATATAGATAATAGATAGAGATAGATCATAGATAGATAGACGAATGGATAGACATGTGATAGATGGATAGATACATACTTAGGTAGGTAGGTAGGTAGGTAGATAAGATGAATGAATAGATGGTGGATGGATTAATAGATAGATGATAGATAGACACATAGATGATGAAAGATGGATAGATGATGGATGCATAGATAGATGAATGGATAGATCGATGTTAGATGGATAGACAGATATATGCATAGATAGGTAGATATAGTAGATAAATGGATAGATAGATGATAGATGGATGGATAGATAGATGAATGGATAGATACATATATACGTACATGCATACATAGGTAGATAGACAATAGGTGAATGGGCATATAGATGATTCATTGATAAATAGTTGATGGATGGATAGACAAATGATGGATGGATGGATGGAGGGATGGATAGATGAATGGTTAGATACGTACATACATAGATACGTAGGTAGATCCATTCATCTATCTATCCATCCATTATCTATCTATCCATCCATCATCTATCTATCCATTCATCTACTATATCTACCTATGTATGTACCTATCTACCCATCTGTGTGTGGTTTGCTCAGGACGCCCAACATCGACCGGCTGGCGGGAGAAGGCGTGAGGCTCACCCAGCACCTGGCGGCCGCTCCCCTCTGCACCCCGAGCAGAGCGGCTTTCCTGACGGGGAGACACGCCCTCAGATCAGGTGGGTGTCGGGGGGACGACAGCGGAAATGGTAGATGGATGGATGGACGGATTGATACATAGATGATGATGGGTAGATGGTTGGATAGATGGTAGGTAGATAGATAGATGGATAGATAGATAGATAGATAGATAGATAGATAGATAGATAGATAGATGATAGATA